CATCTTCTCGTGTGAACTTGATGTATTTATCCACAGAGTTGATGTGGTCAGTAAAATGTTGGACTTCCTGAGATTTAATTTTAACCCAGGTGTCGTCAACATACCTGAACCAATGACTTGGTAGTGTCCCTGAAAAGGACGTCAAGGCTCTCTCTTCTACCTCCTCCATGTACAGGTTGGCAACAATAGGAGAAACTGGAGACCCCATAGCACACCCATGTTTCTGCCTATAATATTGCTCCCCATATGTGAAGTAGGTTGACTGCAGGCACAGTTTCAAGAGTTGACACAGTTGTTCTGTGGAAAGTGTGGTCCTGCTGCTCAGAGTGGTGTCTGATTTTAATCTTAAACTGACCACCTCTACTGCATCATCAACAGGAATGCACGTAAAGAGTGATGTGACATCAAAAGAGACCATTGTTTCATCAGTCTCCATGATGACATCCCTCACCTTATCCACAAAGTCCATGGTGTTCTGTATGTAACACCACATACATATACTTTTTTTTAGATTTTTCTACCTGGATTATTGAGCATGCATCAGGATATATGCTGAACTTTATAAGCTCTTAATTTTAATTTACAAATGAAAAGAAGAACAACAAACATGAACTTTGCATTCTACCATTTTTGAGGGACAATATATTTGTTCAGCGCATTAAGTTGTGAAACACAGAAACTCTTGGTTTTCCTCCTCATCCTGACAAGACACCAGTTGTTTCCTGTGTTGTCACCTTGAGAGCAGGAGAGGGAACACTGGAGCTGTCAGCTGGAGTGGAAACCCCTGGTGACTGTGAGACAGCTGCCACATGGGCCCGGACCGGTGGAGAGGTCTGTGGGTGGGACTGCAAAGTGACGATCCACTCCGCCTCCTGATCATCCTCCGTCTGAGCTGCAGGGAAAAACACTGAAAAACACACAGACAGTCTGGTTCATGAGCGCACCAACACCGTTTACTTCAACACATTCAGTTTCACTCAGGGAGCGTTTCAACATCTGTGGCGTCCCACCACACCCTCGGTGTTCACCGTTATTATCCTCTAACTGCTAAATGTTACATCTTCTGACATCAGTTGAATCTGTGTAGTGATGGGAGTCAGCTTCTTATGATGAAAATCAAGGTTTTGTCAGAATGACTCGATCGATCTGACCCTAACAATGTCCTGAACCATAAACACAGACTGTTCTTATCCGGTCCAGCCTACAGGGCTCCGCAGCTCAAAAAGGGTCAAGTAAAAATTGTTTGACATTCAAGGATCAAAGTTCAACGTTCTTTACTGTCATTCACATCACATGTGGTACATGAGGTGGACTCAGGGTCCCAGCTACAACCACAAAGAGCAAAATACAAAAAGAAGCAGTATATAAGGATATAAGACAAACACTAAACACAACTTCTTCAGTCTTAAAATTAAACAAAGAACATGAACACCATTGTGTGCTAAACTTACAAGGTGTTTTACTCTTTGGTTGCATGAGCAGGGGCCTCAGCACACAGCCCTGAGGGGCTCCGGTGCTGAAGGCCACGGATGTGTGACGGCCCATTCGAACCCTCTGACCCTTTAGAAGGGTTTTGGGAAAACATATATGTTGAATATCCTGATGCATATGTTGAATGTTACGTCTGATTTCATTGTAAAGTTTAACAGTCGTCTTGTGACTTGACACGCTGTTCTGTGAACAAAGCTGTTCTGTGAACAAAGCTGTTCTGTGAACAAAGCTGTTCTGTGAACAACGCTGTTCTGTGAA